CCGTGTAGCGTCGAGGAGAGATGCAGTGTTCTATGGTAGGCCAGCTCCGCAGCTCTTTCAGTTGTGATGTTATGTCCCTCGATCTGCCTTTTGCGTGACCTTCCTTTTCCTTTATAGCCTGAGTGCTTGATGTTGTTAGCTCTCGAGGCTGGTTGGCCAGGTGACATACGCAGCAGGTGGAAAAACTATTTTATTCTGTTTTTCTATGAAATGTAGGCAGGACTCAATGCCGATAGCTGCTCTTACGTCTTCATTTCTCTGCCTGTCTCGTCTTGTGATGTTAAGGATTTTGCGGAGATATTTCATTTCGCATACAGTGATTTTGCTTTCATGGATTTTACTTAACGTCCAGGTCTGGCACTGGTAGCATAATGTTGGTATGAATATTGAGGTAAAAGGCTGTCTCTTTGTGTTTTTGGAGATGTTTGGATGAGATAGGAGGGGTGCGAGCTTGTAGGTGACAGCGTTGGCCTTTTGGGTTCGCATTTCTATTTCTCTGTCTATGGACCCGTTTTCAGAAAAAGTGCGGCCAAGATATTTAAAGTTGGAGGGTGGAATACACCACAAAATCTACATGGGGAAAATTGGTGTAATTCCTAACCACATACATTTTTCAGATACTACATTCAATTTCTAACATAAATGCCAAGTTTCCTTAAAATCTAAGAGTGAATGTAAAAATACAGCAGTGTGAAATATACACACTGAGTTCCAACTTGTATGGGAGGGGGGGGGGGACCCCAGCACGGTTACAGAGTCCGTGGAGGTACAGCCCCGATGAAAAGAGTTCAACAAATTTTTATACTCGTCTTGACTTCAGATTAGTGCTGTGTGGCTAAGTTTCCGATTGTTGAAAGCGAGGAATGGTACGAATGGAATCTGAACCCAATTACTTACTTTCTTACTTTACTTTATTTTTCCGATCCTGCGGACATTTGGGTTTACTTACTTTCTAAAGATGTGGTTTCTTCCGGTGGTTACCTGGTTGGCTCCGAACATCTTCAGGATTTAGGATAAACTTGATTTCGGAACACTACGAAGCTCCAACTTTTATTTTTCAAAAATAAATAAAAAAAAAAAGAAGATTTTGATGATTAAAGTAACTGGTAACCCTTGGTTTACGTAAAAAATTTAAGGAGACGGAACTTACCTTCCGTAGCATTAATCGTGGGAATCGGTTCTGGAAGTGACCCTTCACCCAGCTCTACTTAAAGTCGTCCTGTCGAGGAATACGTTAATGTAAAATGTAAGTCCAAAGCTAACTTTTGTATCTTAGACGTCCCGACGTTCTCATCTGACCGGATCAGATCAAACAGATCCGACCCGACTTATGGGATCGGTGTGCACATGACATAAAGACCAAACAGGACACACTGAGAGAACTGAGGCCCCGATAGATACACCTGCCTGTAAAGATAGTGACTGAAAACGTGAACAGGTAGGTTCAGGTAACACACGCGTCCCAGTTGCTGACCCATCTTCAGTTTGTTTTTATGCTTTAGGAAATCATTCCGAGTTTTAAAAAATAGGAAACTGAAATTGTCAACAACAAAAATATATCATGGACTTCCCCCAGTCGGCATCGATATGGTTGAATAAAGCAGCAGCAGTGTAATCGAATGCTTACTCAACGAGCTTGGGACTTGGGAGCATACAAAATTATAACTCGTAAGTAATATAATAATATGTACATACACACTGGGCCAGTGTTAAAGAAAAATTCTTTACGCAGAAAGTACGAGAGTATTAAACAATTTGCCAAGAGAATGAGAGAGATGTAAACGGTTCCATTAAACAGACACGATTTATCTCAACCCACACTTATTTTCATCCCATGCAGAAGGAGAAAGCATCACAACCAAGTTTGTTTGTTTAGTATAGGGTTTTACGGCGCTCGCAACTGCATAAGGTCATATGAGCGCGCGGGACACACCTAATACTTTTTCGTTGGTAGGAAATTTTGAATTTTGCCCCGGTGGCGGCCGAAGCCTACTCTTATCGATTTTAGACCACCAAGGGATCTTTAACGTGCGCAACTTGCACTCGGGCCCTCCGAGATTTTT